ATTATTTTAAAACAAGTGGGCTGTGTGCTGTCCATTTATTGCAGCCATTTTACATCTAATGTTAACTGTGATAACTTCTTCCCACTGTGACCATCATGTCTGACACAAATAATCATTCATGGCCTTATTTGAGACATATTTTCAGTGAAAACAACAATAATAAATTCAATGAAATTGCAGCACGTGAGCATTTGTTCAGTTCTGCAGGGCTCTTATTCACACTGAAATGAGCTAATCTGTCTCAGAAGCTAAATAATAAGTGGTGCATGTGAAGAGCTGTACCACATACAGTAATACTGATTGTTTTAATAAAAATAAAATAAAGTTTTTTGAGTTCATATTTGTTTGTGCCTTCTACGTGTGAATTTAAGTTGAATATTGGCTATTTTTAATAATGCTATCATTACTTATTTTTTGTCGATACTTTTAACTATATTGCTACTTAAGTATTGTCTGTATATATTTGGTACTTTCTACTTTTACTTAAGTAGTCATCAACAACAGATACTTATACTTTTTTACTTCAGTGAATATTTTCTAAAGTGGCAGTACTTTTACTCATGTAAATATTTTCAGTACTTTACCCATCACTGTAATAATAATATAATATATACTACTACAGTGATGAAAAAACATTTTTGCAATGGCTAGATACCAATAACATTTGCCCTCATCAACATAAAGCATCGATTCATACATCTAATTCAACATGCCCATTTTTATATAAGATGTCTTTCCCATGGCCTTCTGTACCATTGGGTTACTTAAGCAGGCCCTTGATTGATACTTTGGAAAGCATGTGAAGAGTGCATTGACTTCAGTGTATTGCACAAAAGTCTCTGCAGTGGAAATTTGCGAGGCCATCATACAGATCCTATTGGTGGTGGAAGAAGGGGCTGTAAGTCCTAGACATTCCTCTTTGTATAATTACCACAGATAGTAAACATCCCTCTGTGCTCCAAAAGACTTAAATAAGACAAGATTTTATAGATAAAGCTGTCTTCAATCAGATATGCAAGGGCTAATATTAGGGTGTGTCTTAAGAGTATCAAACGTTCATCAAATCCATTTATTGAATTAATATCTGAGATGTCACATGGTGGGTTGATTCAATGATTGATATATGTTGTATTGAAAGGGGATCTTCGAGTTATTTTTTGGGATTTAGATCATAACCTGTGTTGCGTCAGCGAGGTCACGTGACTAGTATCACGCCACCCGTTTTCTAGAAATATCCTGTTCCTTCGGAGTGTCCTAGCATTTACTAGATTGGGGGTGGTCTGGTATATATAAGATGGTCACGGCGTGATGGAACAATGTGTAGGTATTGAGTAATTGAAATGCAGTCAGAGAGTATTGTTGAAGTTAACGTTCGTTGTTATAGCGTTTGTTATAGCGCGACTGTTGAAATTAAGTGTATCGTAAATTTGTATTCGGAAAGAATAAACCAGTTTTATTAAGAAAGGACTTCTGTCGCTAAAGTTTCGTTGGAACGAAGTTACGGAAAATCAACTAACGAACGGAGACGTAACAAATTGGTGTCAGAGAGTGGGACATAAAAAAAATGGAAATGAGAAGCGGCAAATCAAACTACAGCCTAGCAGACTTGATGGCAGCAATACAAGAACAGCAAAAGAAACAAGAAGAACGAGAAGAGAAATTACAACAGTTGTTAGAGGAAAAAGAAAAGAAACAAGAAGAACGAGAAGAGAAATTAAAACAGTTGTTAGAGAAAAAGAAAAGAAACAAGAAGAACGAGAAGAGAAATTAAAACAGTTGTTAGAGAAAAAAGAAAAGAAACAAGAAGAGAGACTACAGCAGTGGCAACTAGAACAAGAAAAGAAACAGGAAGAAATTAACCAACAGTTGCAGGAAAGTCAGCAGCAACTACAGAAAAATCAACAACAATGGCAAGAAGTACAAATGAAAAACATTAGTAAATTTAAAGCGAATTACATACGTTAAAGGACGATTTATTGTCTTTTACACAAGGAGGATACATTAACCATCGACTTAACCAGCCCCAGACAATGACAAATCCCTTCCAGACCCTGCAGCTAAACCCTAATGCAGACATATTCAGTCCAATTAGAAGTCAC